ATTGGACCCACAGCTCAGAAATCCAGTTGGGGGGGTTCCGAGTGCCTGGTAGAAAGAGGCCCCAGCTTTGCTGAATCCTTTGTATGGGGAACAATTTAGATGAACACTCTGGAACTTTTTTTTTTTCCAAAAGATTTATTTATTTATTATATATACAATATTCTGCCTGCATGTATCCCTGTGGAACAGAAGAGGGCACCAGACCTCATTACAGATGATTGTGAGCCACCATGTGGTTGCTGGAATTGAACTCAAGACCTCTGGAAGAGCAGCCAGTGCTCTTAACCACTGAGCCATCTCTCCAAAGCCTCTGGGACATTCTTAAGTTCCCTGTTAGCTAGCAACTGCTGTGTAACAACAACCCCACCCCACCCCACCACCTGTGATCCACCCCCTGTGGTCCACCCCCTGTGATCCACCCCCACCCCCTGTGGTCCACCCCCTGTGGTTTGCTAGGTAACACTCCTTCACTGTCTCAAAGTTTTGATAATTCAGGTCCAGTTAGGTCAGCTGTGACTCAAGGTCACAAAGGAGGTTAAGGTCTAAAAATAGAAACTGGACTTGCCCATAACACTAGCATCTGGGGAGGCTGACACAGGAGGATCAAGAGTTTCATGTCAGCTTGGCTACTCAGTTACACTCTGTCACAAAAAAAATTTACAATTTTACTTTAAAAAATTTTAACCCAGTGCAGTGGCACACACCTTTAATCCCAACACTCAGGAGGCAGGTGAATCTCTGTGAGTTTGAGGCCAGCCTGGTCTACAAAGTGAGTTTCAGGACAACCAAAGCTACACAGAGAAATGCTCTCTCTCTCTCTCTCTCTCTCTCTCTCTCTCTCTCACACACACACACACACACACACACACACGATGTTTACATTTATTTAGTATGTATTTGGGTAATGTGTCACGGCACTGTGTGGAGGTCAGAGAACATATGAGAGCCAATTGCTCCTTCCATTGTGTGAGTCTCAGAGATGGAGCTCAAGTCATCAGCCTTGACAGCAAACACCCGCCCTGCTGAGCCTTCTTGCCAGCCCAAAATAAATAGATAAATATTTTTCAAGAGATTTTTATTTCATGTATACTAGTGTTTTGCTTTCAGTAAGTTCATCATGCGTATGTAGTGCCTGCAGAAGCCAGAAGGGTGTTGGATCCTCTGCAATTGGAGTTACAGGTCATGAGTGGCCATGTGGATGCTAGGTACTGAACCCAGGTCCTCTACAAGAGCAGCCAGTGCTCTTAACTGCTGAGTCATCTTCTTCATCCCCATAAATATTTTCTTACTATTTTAAACTTTTTCTTCGAAAATGTCATACATATATAATTTCTTTTCTTTTTTCTCTTTATAAATAACTATTTTTAAAGATTTATTTATTTATTTATTATGTATACAACATTCTGCCTTCATGTATGTCCACACGCCAGAGGAGGGCGCCAGATCTCATTACAGATGGTTGGGAGCCACTATGTGGTTGCTGGAAATTGAACTCAGGACCTTTGGAAGAGCTGCCAGTGCTCTTAACCTCTGAGCCGTCTCTCCAGCCCATAAATACTAATCTTTAAAAGGGCTAAAAGTCAGGCATGGTAGTCTACACCTATAAAAACTAATATTTGGGAGGTTGAGGCAAGAGGATTATCACGGGCTTGAGGACAGCCTGGGCAACACAGCAAGACACTTGAGAAAACAAAAACAAAAAACAAAAGTGGGGGTTGTTGGCACGGCCTTTGGTGGGTCCTCTTACAGGTCCCGAGATGGCATCCTCCTGTCATTGCTACAGGCTGTCTGGTGGCCTGTGGTCTTTTCATAAAGCAGCTGGAATGCCCACACTGAAGTGCCTGTCTACTTCTGGCATTGTAAGTGTGTGCCGCCACACCAGCTGTACCAGAGTCCCACTGTGTAGCTCTGACTGGCCTAGAGCTCAGGGTGATCCTCTTGCCTCTGCCTGCAGAGTGCTGAGCCATCAGGCTAGGTTGAACTACATATTTTAATTAACATTAAAAATGATAAGTATCTCTGGAAGCATCACAATCCCTGACTTCAAACTCTACTACAGAGCTACAGTACTGAAAACAGCCTGATAACGGCATAAAAACAGACAGGAGGACCAATGGAACTGAATAGAAGACCCAGATATCAATCCACACATCTTCAAACACCTGATATTTGATAAAGAAGCAAAAAATATCAAATGGAAAAAAGAAAGCATATTTAAGAAATGGTGCTGGCATAACTGGATATCAACATGTAGAAGAATGAAAATAGACCCATATCTAACACCATGCACAAAACTCAAGTCCAAATGGATCAAAGACCTCAACAAAAAGCCAGCCATACTGAACTTATAGAAGAGAAAGTGGGAAGTACACTTGAACGCATTGGCACAGGGAACCACTTTCTAAATATAACCCCAGCAGCACAGACACTGAGAGAAACAATTAATAAATGGGACCTCCTGAAACTGAAAAGCTTCTGTAAAGCAAAGGACACAGTGAACAAGACAAAACGACAGCCTACAGAATGGGAAAAGAACTTCACTAACCCACATCAGACACAGGTCTGATCTCCAAAATATACAAAGAACTCAAGAAATTGGACACCAAAATATCACATAATCTAATAAAAAAAATGGGAGTACAGTCCTAAACAGAGAACTCTCAACAGAGGAATCTAAAGTGGCTGAAAGACACTCAAGGAAATGTTCAACATCCTTAGTCATCAGAGAAATGCAAATAAAAACAACTCTGAGATTCCATCTTACACCTGTAAGGATGGCCAAGATCAAAAACACTGATGACAACTTATGCTGGAGAGGTTGTGGGGAAAAGGGAACACTTCTGCATTGCTGGTGGGAATGCAAGCTGGTACAACCCCTTTGGATGTCAGTGTGGAGATTTCTCAGAAAATTAGGAAACAACCTTCCTCAATATCCAATAATACCACTTTTGGGTATATATCCAAAGGATGCTCAATCGTGCCACAAGGACATGTGCTCAACTATGTTCATAGCAGCTTTGGTTTGTCATAGCCAGAACCTGGAGACAACCTAAATGCCCCTTGACTGAAGAATGGATAAGGAAAATGTGGTACATTTACACAATGGAGTACTACACAGCAGGAAAAAAGAACAGCTTGAATTTTGCAGGAAAATGGATGGAGCTAGAAAACATTATTTTGAGTGAGGTAACCCAGACACAGAAAGACAATTATCACATGTACTCACTCATAGGTGGTTTTTAAACATAAAGCAAAGAAAACCAGTCTACAAACTACAATCCCAGAGAACTTAGACAACAATGCGGACACTAAGAGAGACTTACATAGATCTAGTCTACATGGGAAGTAGAAAGTAGAAAAAGGCAAGATCTCCTGAGTAAATTGGGAGCACGGGGACTTTGAGAGAGGACTGAAGCGGGGGGGGGGGGGCAGAGGAAGGGAGGGGAGCAGAGAAAAAATGTAGAGCTCAATAAATATAAATAAAAGAATGGTAAGTATCAGGTGGGTTTGGAGGCTCACACTTATTAACCCTTAGTACTGGAGAGGCGAAGGCTGGAGAGTCACACATTTGAGGCCACCTGGGCAATATGTCAAAACTCTGTCTTAAAACCCAAAAACAAAGCCAACCCTGATAGTACAGCTAGCTACTCAGCTACTCAGGAGGCTGAGGCAGGAGGATTAAACATTCAAGGCTTTCCTGGGCTAAGTCTAAGGCTAGCCCAGGCAAATCAATGAATGAGAACTTGCCTCAGAATAAGTGAAAAGCAGGGTAGGGCTGCAATACCCCGGTGGAAGCCCTGGGCCTGTGACCAGCGGGCGGGTGTCAAGCACTTATTATTTCTCACTTCATTTTTCTTGATTCACGATCTCACTATGTGGCTTTGGCTAGCCTGGAATTCACTATGTAGACCAGGCTGGCCTCAAATTCAGAGTTCTGCTTGTCTCTACGACCCACGTGCTGGACATACAAGGTGCTTTTCTTGTTTTTGGTTTTTGTTCACTTTACTCATTTTTTGGAGAGTATCTCACTAGACTAACCAGTTTGATGGGGTATGCTGTCTTACCTACAAGCTCCAGTGGTCCTTGCCTGGGTGCTGGGGATTCAACTCAGGTCCTCATGCTTGCACGCCAAGCACTTTACCTGTCGTGCCAGCCCCCAGGTCTTATCTGGTCAATGTTTGTTGGTATTCATATTAACAATATGAACGGCTTGGATAGTTAACTTCCATTAGGATTGTTGGGTTTGTTTGATTTGAGAAGGTATCTCATGAAGCCCAGAAAGGTCTCCAACTCCCTAGATAGCCAAGACTGGCTTTGAAACGATCCTCCTGTTCCAGCCTCTGAATGCTGTTCTGTCACTCACCACACCAGGCTGATATTAAGGTGTCTATTGTGTCACTGACCTTGTTGACTTAGAGAACCTGCTACACCAGGTTTGGACTCCTTCTGACCTGGCCACTTGGGTCCCTGGCAGGTGGACCTAGTGCCGCTAACTGCCCTCAGCAGGAAGGAAGGGCGGATGGCCCGGCCCCTGGGAGTGGTCAGTTAGCTTCCGGCAGTCCTCCCCAGCTGTGGGAACAGGCTTATCGTCCCCCCCCTCCCCAGCCCCCCCCGCCCACACTGGGTGGGAGGATCCGGGTCCCCAGGGGCGCAGAACCCAGAGTCGCTGCTGTCACCTCAGGGTCTCGACGTGGGCGCAGCAGCAATGGCCTGGGAGCCCTTTGCTCTTCGAAGGAAAAAATGTAAATAAATAGAAGACTGACAGCGCAGAGCTCCCAGGGAACCCGGACTGGGGCGGGCCCGCGGGGAGAGAAGAAACTGAGCGAGGAAGGAAACGGGTTTGGGCCTCGGAGAAATCTGGCAGGCAGGGCTGGCCTGTGATTAAAAAGAGGAAGAACCACAAGTCCCCATTTAACTCAGCAGGGCTGCAGTCGGCTGCGAGAGGGAAAGTGCTTGCGGCTGGCAGATTGCAGCCACCATTTGGCAAAGGCTGCCAGTACCTGATGATACACGCGCGCCTCCTGGCCACAGCGAGGCTGCAGTTACCGGGCATTCGCCCCAGGTGTTATAAGGAGTGTGTTCCAGGCCAATCAGGCTAGACTTCACCGAAGCGCCCTCCTTCCTCTTCAGATGCTGCGTCCTTCAATGGGACACTTCCGATCGGGGACACCAATCTGTGGCAGAACGCAGCTGGGCCTTCTCTTCCTCAAAGTTCTTCATGGCTCACCGGCGCCCTCAAAAAACAAACAAGCAAACAAAAGTCCTCCCAAAAGGGGACTCCGCACCAAAACCTCAAGACACCACGTGTAAGCCAGCGTGTTCCTTCTTGTGTGGGTGGGGCCATCTCCACTTTCTACCAAGACACCTCAGGGACTTTGCATTGACCGGCCCTTTGGCTTGGAATGCCTTGTCTTCAGACGTCTTCATGCCCAGACTCTTTATCATGAGGGAGATTTCAGCTTAACTATTTCAACTATTTCTTTCCTCGAGTCCCAAAGACAGCCACCCCACATCCACAACAGCGCGGTCACCGGTGCTGTCTCCCAACCAGCGTGCCGCCTCCGCGAGGACACTATAAACACCTTACACAGTGCCTATCACATAGTGGGTACCGCCTTTGCACGTTTTTGTGGCTTTTCCCAAACCATTCTGCTCCCCCCCCCGCCCCCACCACCTACTCGCTGCCCTCCGACTGTAGTGGAAATCCCCACCTGTGGGGGAGTCCCTTCCTGGGGCTCCAACGGTAGGCCTGGGGACTGAAGCCCGGTTAAGGTTAAACTGCTCCAATGCGGTAACTCAGTCCTTCCAGTCCCCGAGTGGGTTGGGGACACGTGTTATTTCCATTTCATAGATGAAGAAATTGAGCTGCAGAGGCCAAGCTCTTGGTCCCAGGCAGCAAGGGGGAGGTAGTGGGATCTAGGCAGCCAGTGGCTCCTGGGAGCCTGTCGTCTGGGAAGCCTTGCAGTGGCCCCTCCAAACTGGGGGCGTGGGCGGTCTGTTTCCTGTTGGGGGAGGGGAAGAGGACAGGCATTCCTCTTGAGCTTCCCTCCCTAGTGTGGCGGGGAAGACTGGCGTGCAGTGACTCCACTTCAGAACAGGGGCACCCCACTGTTAACCGCACCCCCATGAGGAGATAGAGAAAAGGTAAAGGGCTGAGGGGAGCGCAGACGTGGAAACACAAAGGGCTCCGCTGCCTGGGGTAAGGAGTTCTTAGAGAAAGCTGCAAAGTTAAAGAGCGGTCGGGCGGCCAGGTAGAAAATAGCCTACTTGGCCCGTTCCGGGACTAGGCGGACCTTAGTCGGGGAGCGGAACCCGAATCGATGGCGCGGCCGAGGCAGGTCGGCTCCTAGCCGCCGACAGTGGGCCCATTGCTGGGCTGGGCCCCCTCCCCCCGGAGGTGATGAAAGCCGCGGTCGCAGTTGTTAGACGCGGCCGGGAGAACACAGATAAGGCCGGGCTGGAGGAGTCCGCAGGGGCGCGCCCCCACGAGGTCCAGAAGGTCGTGCGGCCACGCCCCACCGTGCGCCAGGCCCCGCCCCACCCCCTCCAGGGGCCCCGCCCCGCGGAGGCACGCGGTGATTGGCTGGCGCGAGAGGGGCGGGGACAAGCACACTCCTCCCCTTGGCGATTCCCTTTCCTTTAGGGTGCGCGACGCGACTTGGGGGTGGGGATCGCGCCTTTGGGGGAGGGAACCGGAGGCGACCGCTCTGGAGGGCGGGGCCGGAGTAGCGGCTGGCGGTAGGAGGGCGTGGCTCATCGTGGCCCCGCCCCCATGCCGCCCTCCGCTGCCGCGCGCTGCTCGCGGCCGGTTCCTCTTTACATAACGGCGCGGGGCGGCATGGGCTCGGGCCGTCGTCTCCTCCCAGCCGCCCGCCCGCCTAGACTGTCACGGGCCACGGGGTCCACAGGGGCGACAGTAGCAGCGTCCCGGGGGCGGCCCGGAGCCGCGTCCCTCCGCTGCTGTCAGGCGCTGGCAGCGGAAATGAGGCGCTGGCCGTTTTCCGAGCCGGGGTTTCCTGCCTGAGCGCCGAGAGGCCGTGCGACGCCATGGGCCGGCCGGGCCCCGACCCGCAGCTTGCGCGGTAAGCGCGGCCTTCCGAGCGCGTTGGAGGAACCGGGCGGCTGCCCGCGTCCCGCTTCTGTTTTCTGGCGTTTCCTCATTCTGTTTCTCTTCCCCAATCCCAGACCGCAGTGATGTGGGCGCGGAGGTCAGTGCTTGCAGCTGGGGCCTCCGGAGAGGGGCCTGGCGGGGCGCCGCGGGAGGAACCGAGAGCCGCCCCGGGGACACAGCGTGCTTGGTCCCTGCGGGGGGGGGGGTGGACACGTGTGTCACTGACCTGACAGGCGGAGCAAAAACGGCTCTGGTGATCTATAGGGGTGGCATACGGATGCCTCAAGGCAGCTTAGCTGTCAGAGGTCGTGGCGGGGCAGGCTCATGACAGGCCAGGGTCCACTGGGGAAGTTGTAAGGGTTTTACATGCTTAGGACCCTTTCTGAGCTTTCTCTCACAGGCCCCTCTGGAAGGGGGGGGGTTCCATACATTTTGGAACTTGTGCAGTCCCTGTGAGCCACGGGGGCGGACAGCTGGGAGGGGGCTGGCCCGAAGCAGCAGCAGCTGTAGTCTGGGGCCCTCAAGGGCTAGGCAGTGGCAGAGGAAGAAGCAGAGGGTCCTAGAAAGCAGAACTTCTTCCTCCTCTGCTTTGTAAGCTACAGCCTCTGTTTCCCCGTTGAGTGAATAGTAAGAGATTTGCGGTGCAGTTTTAATGAGGACTTGGTGTGTGGAAGGCACCTGCGTCTGGCCTGGCAGGGAGAAGATCTCAATTACAGGCTGTTAAACATTGCCCTGTTTTACGGACCCCTGCTGTGGGACCTTCCTTAGCTCTCCTAAATCTTTGGGCAGGGAACTCTGTGAAGGACCTGGGCAGAGTCAGATGACAGCCCCTACCTGGTCAGGTTTCTTCAGTTGACACCTACTTGTGATGACCACCAGAGCACAGAATGGCTTGAGTCATGGTGGGGGGTGGGGGGAGGGGGGGGGTGGGGGGGAGTGTGTTATCTGTTTTGTTGAGGTCATTTCTGCTCCTGTTCCTTCCTGACTCTGTGGCACCCAAGTCTGTCACCCAGTGCCTGGTCTTTCCTGTTCAAGAGACAACCTTCTTAGACAAGTGAGGTGCATTGAGCAGCTGGACTGTGCAGTCAGCTTGTGTACCTCAGGATATCTCATCCAGCTGGGCCATACCCAGGTTTCTTCCTCCTCTGGGATGGAGCTGGAGGTACTTTGGTACCCTTTCTGGCTTCCAGGGTGCTGCCTCTCTAGCATGAGTGATTGATAGAGAACTCTGGTGACCTCACAGAGAACTGCCTCCAGCCTGGACTTAAACGCTTTACAGGCAGGCCTTTGGGTTCTAGCCTACCTCTGAGGCTAGTTGGCTTCTGAATCTCCCATTGCTGTGACTCTTTGGGTGGTCACTTAACCTCTCTGAGACAATGAAGTCATCAGGAGTGGGAAGGGTTTTAACTGCTGTGGAGTCTGGCACACACAGTTGGAGCAGATGGTATTGTTGAAATGAGAGGCCTTTCTTTGGAGAAGCACACGTGAAGAGACTCAGGCCTTAGGCAAGGTACCTGACATCCCTTGAGATCTGCCCACTGTGGAACAAGTCTCTGCCCCCCCTAGGGTGATTGTTTGCCATGTAGGAGCATTTCAAGGGGACTAGGTTGGCTGTAGTCAGGCTGGCTGTAGTCTGTTGGGCTTGTGTTTTACCATCTTTGAGCTCTGAAGTGGGGGTGTTGAAGGATAGAGTTGTTCTGAAATCGGCATGAGGTTAGTGCTCAATACGTTCAAGCTACTGCTATTAATCTGGGGATAGGGTGGCTGACACTTAATTGCCAGGCTTCCTGGGAAAAACGGTCCCTAGGGCCCCTGGTGTTGAGCATCTCTGGTTGGGCGGGGCAGGGCAGGAAGCAGCTTCCATCTGGAGTGTCTGGAGGGGCTGCTCGCTCCTGCCAGGCCTGTTTCCAGCCACCACCCTCCCCAAGGAAACTGAGGCTGGCAGGCTGCCTAGAGGAAATGACTCAGTGGGGGTCACTGGCTGAGTCATGCCTAATTGGACTCAGGAGTCTGCACCCCAGCTCCCAACTTCCGGGGGCTTGAGGTCCCTCAGGGACTGGGTAGGTCTCAGGCCTGGCTGCATGTCCTTGGCCACTGTTTGGCACCACCTGCTTGAGCCCTACGATTTAGACAACCAGTGTCCCTAGGTCAGTATTTTGGGGTCCCACTGACCACCACTAAGCTGTCTAGCCTAGTGTCCCTCTTTTCATTGGGACAAGAAACAGGTCCCTAAAGGACCTGATGGCCTGCCTGCCCCACCCTGGCCAGCCGGAAACCCAGAAGCTGAGCAGATGGCTGAAAGATTTTTTCCTCCCACACAACCCTGTCAAGGGTCAGCAGGGGGGCCAGTTCTCGGGCTTTCTTGTGAGCCAGGCCTGGAGCCCCTTGAGGCCTGTCCGGATGTGCCCCCCAGCCGCTGTGGGGGTGCAACTTGGTCCCCAGGGAAGCCTGGAGGAAGGAAGTGTGTGCCCTGCTTGTGGGGCTGACTCACAGCAGCTGATTGGGGGTGGGACTAAACTTGGGGGTGGGGCTAGACTTGGGGGTGAGGGCTCAGTGTGGCCTCTTGATGTAGGAGGTATACCTACCTTTCAGAGCCCCCACTAGTGGCATCTCCATGGAGTCCTAAGGATTCATCTGAGTGGGAAGGGGTACACAAGAGCTAGAGGCTGTCAGTGCATTCTCCTTAAAGCCCTAGACAGTTCAGTAGTTGGGGAGGCTCTCTCTGATACCTGGGTACATCTTTTGCCACCACCTCTGCCACTGCCTACTCTGGGGTTGGTGAAGGAAACCCTGTCTGGTAAAGAGAGGTATACTTCTGTTGGGGGGCTGGTCCTTGCTCTCCCCACCTCTTGGAGCCTACTTGGGGTAGTAGCTGTCTGGAGTGTCAAGTTGACAGTGGCGGGGTGCAAATGGGAGTTAGGGTATGTGCACTGGGTCTTTTTAGCTCTGCAGCATAGAGTCAGTTTGGAGGCCTCCTTGGAGGAGGCCACCTTTAGAGGGTGGTATGGGGCTTCCTGTTCCAGCATCTAGGGGTGGGACAGTCACAACTCTTGGGTACACACACACACTGAGCAGCTCTTCCTGGCCTGGCAGGTGGAGTGCTCCAGGTGTCCTCTGCACCTGTGAGATGGGAGTGGTGGTCATGGGCTGGGTGGTCCCAGAGTCCTGTCCAGCAACCTTCCATCTCACTGACTGGACAGGCCCTCTGTATGCTTGGGGTGGTTGTGCCTGAGCAGGAGCACCAGCTCCTAGGGATCAGCACTGCCTGACTGGGTTGCCTGTGGCTTTCTGGGATCAATGAGGGTGTTGAGAGATGCCACCTTGCTGACTGCAGGGAGCTAGCTGCCCTGCTTCTTTACCATGGAAACTGGGGATGGGGGAACTATCTCCCTAGGACATAGCTCTTTTTGTCACTGTGGTTGAGTCCAGGTGGAGGCTTTATCTTCTCTGTGGAGAAGGGCGAGAGAGCGATATGGCCCATCATCCTGAGACTGAGCTTTGCTCCTTCCTTCTCCCATCTTCTCCATCCCGTCCCAGG